TGTGTGATCGAATGGGTCTTTGGGAGGTAATTGGCAGCAGGCAGTCTCTCAAGTACCCACATCCAATACCATGAAGGGTTTTGTAAGTTATGACTAGCACTTTGAAGCGTATCCGGAGACTGATCGGTAGCCAGTGCAGCTCACGGCGGATAGGTGTAACGTGGGTGTACCGAGGTGCACCCACAATCGCTCGCGCGATATAAAAGAAACAAACTTGGAAGTGTAACATATTTACAAGATTGAATTTTCAAGCATCCTGCCTGTTAAAGTAGCAGTAAAACATATATTTCTACCATGTAAATATCATCTCTGGAAAAACAATTCTGTTAAAAAGTTTAGGATTATGATTCTACTAGTACTTTTTAAGGAATTTGACTACATTTATAAGATTCTTCTCCAAACATTTTCACTGTTTTGTTTACAGTGACAACAATCTGATGTAACTATTAAGGTGCTGAGTTAGAAGTTGTAAGACCCAGGTTCTAGTTCTTCCTCAACTCTGAAAACTAATGCGACAACTTTGCTCTTTCTCAGTTCCCTTCAGTGCCACCTCACAGGTTGCTATTGATGGGACAAATAGAAGGACTGAGCCCTGTGTACACTGTCTCTAGTTCTTGTACAAAAGGTAGGATATAAATCTAATAAATATATAATATCCTGAGATACCAAAAGAAAAATGCTTGTTTTGACAATTGATGCTAACATTATGATTCAGCAAGTTATCAACTAATAAGTAACCAAACTAAATCCTGAGTAATAAATATTTACTAACCTTCATACATCAGTTTGGTTGTACAGTATCCATCCATTTCTGTTAATGCTTCATCTTTATCCACATCCAGGAGGTCTAAAAGACGGGTAATTGACACTTCCAATGAACAGAGCGAGCCTGTTTTACAATATTCTGCCCCCAATGGGGGGGAAATCTCAGCTTTCACATTATACAATGTCTGGCAGGAGTACAATAATATTTATAGTCAACACACAAAAGATAACTTTTTCATACTATTCAAATTGATAGGAGATAATCCAATTTCTGATTGGATAGAAGATCCTAACCTTTGAGTTTTTACAAACACAGCATGGGGGGGGGGAATCCCATACAAGTCAATTTCTTATGTTTAAAACTGACATTTATAAAAATTACTGTTGCAATAACATCAAACATTTTGCTAGTCACTGCTTTGTAATTCATCTTTGGTACCCCAAATGCAAAACCTTAATGGTGTTTGCACTAGTACAGATGATACGTTGAACAAGGCTTATAGAAAATGCTTTATTGCAAACTTGTACAAGTTTGCAACATCAGCAGAAAGTTCAATAGTGATACTGTACTAGATTACCGTATTTTTTGGAGTATAAGACGCACCAGAGTATAAAACCCAGGTTTTGAAGAGGCTTTTTTTTTTAAAGTAGGTAGGTAGATAGAGGGATAGAAAGAGAGAGAAATACAATAGGTAGGTAGGGAGAGAGAGAGAGTAGTTAGGTAGGTAGATAAAGGGAGAGAGAGAAATATAGTAGATAAGCAGGTAGGGAAAGAGAGAGAAAGTAGGCAGCTTGGTAGGTAGAGGAATAGAGAGACAAATAGAGAAAGAGAAATACAGTAGATAGGTGGGGGGGAGAAAGAGAAATACGGTAGGTAGGAGAAGAGAGAGAGTGTGTGTAGATAGGTAGGTAGGTAGAGGAATAGAGAGAGAGAGAAAGAGAGATACAGAAGATAGGTAGGGGGAGAGAGAGAGTAGGTAGGTAGGTATATAGGTAGATTGGGGGGGGGGAAGAGAGAGAGATGAATACAGTAGGTAGGTAGGGAGAGAGAAGGTAGGTAGGTAGGTAGATGTTTCCAGGTGTATTTATCCATGTGCTGAAGAAGGAAATTGCTGACAACCTGTAGCACCTAAAACTTTGTTTCTGCTGGCCTAGCACTTGACCAATGTAATTCTCATCAACCACGCTAACTAAACAGCTTTCTGAAAGGGGGGGGTTTCCACTCTGCAAACCTCCCCCAAATGCCCCGTTTTTTGCGAAAAAGGACTTTTTTTTCCAAAAAAGGCATGAATAGNATGAACTATCAGGTTATGATCTCTTAAAGTGCATTTATATTCAAGTCTCATGTGCATATTTCTACACATCTACAGAGAAACGTCATGTGACATTGACTTCTAAAATGTGATCATCTTTGCTGGGAATGACAAGGATTTGCATGCCAGAACTGGAATTGAAGACCTGTCCAGGGGAAAATGATTGAAGTCGGGGCATGGGCAAACCTTTGTGTTCTGCACTGGTTGTTGAATGTATGCTGCCTCTGCTCTTTATGCTACTGTTGTCAGCTTGATCATCCATATTTTTATCCACAGAGATATTATCATTTTCAATCCAGCTATCTGTAAAAAAAATAAAATGTGAATCTCTATTTCACATTCATCTGTACATTTTTGATAACAAGTAATTTGCTAAACTAACTAAATTGCTAAGATAACTAAAATTATCAGAGATTATTTATGAATGCATTTAAAGTAGTATATTAACATAAGAAGAAAATCTGACAAATTTATGATATCAATTTCACTAAAAAGAAAAAAAGGCAGGACACAACTCTTCCTAATGTTCTCATAGATAAAAATCTGAATGCATCACAACTGAGGCAGATGGAAAATCTAAAGTAAGGAGTTCCTATAAGAAAAGAGTTATCTGTTATAATACAATTTTGTCTCTCTCTCTCTCTCTCTCTCTCTTTTAAACCTAGTGCCTTACATGAAGGCAGCGTATATGTGTACTTAATAAAGAATCAAAGTAAATGTTTGTAAGTTTCAGGCCACTTACTGGAGCTTCCAGTACTGAAGGAATAATCAGATCATTCCCAACTTTGGCAATTTCCAGATACGTAGTCTTCAAATCCCAGAATTCCACTGCCAGCATAGCACTAAATGAAAAATCTGGGATCTGAAGTCCTAGTCCTAGAAGATGTCAAGATTGGAAAACATTGGCAACATTCAAAGAAATAATCATACTTCATCTATATGTCATCAGAACAATAGGTTCTATAAAGAACAAGATATAATATCTTAGAAATGATTATTGAAGTCTCAAAAGCCTACTATTTTTAGATACTTTTTTATGAGTCATTGTTTCATATTCTTTTACCATATTCCTCAATGACAAGAGATTGCTGAACTCTTAGCAATGACAAGTTTCTAACATTCTGCTTTCACTGGAAAAGCTCTTAAACATTCAGGGAGACATTTAGAGATGTATCAATGCCATTTGCATTATCATAAACCATTTTATGGTAATTTTGTGTCATAAAATGATTTATAAAATTTGCCAATTTTCAATTCCATGGGAGTCATATGTCTCATATTTTTAAACACATTCTGTAAGTTAGCTTATTAGAAGTACCTTGATTCAAACATTGTTGCCCTATAATACATTGTTTTGCTCAGTTAATATTTTTGTTCAAATTAAATTTAGCATTTTTCAGAGAATGGGAACATCCACATAAAAATATATTAATCCAAAAATACATGTCTTTAACCATGAAGAATTTTGATAGTGTAATGCTATGAAGTAAAATTTTATAGAGAAAGGACATTCTATAATTTTATGTTAGCAGTTTCTCACATAACTTCTAAATATACACATTCTTACCAGCATCAAGTTGCATAAAGTGAGCAGAGTGATGAGGGAGATATTTAAATAGTTTAACATCAGGAAAAGGGAGGTATCCAGCAAAGAGGGGCATTACTTCCATATGCACTTTATGGGTTGCTTGAACTGCTACTGGCATAGATATTACCCCTGAGCTCTTTCCACAGACTGCCCAGTTACTACTGTCATCCACAACTAAAATAAAGAGAAAATGTTATTCAAAATCAACTATTACTTCAACTGATATGGTATCACTCCACTGGAACACTGGAGATAACATCCTGTGAAGCAACGTTTTGTAGACTGATATCACCTGGTGCTTAAATGTACAGATTTGACATGCTTATTGAATTTTTGAATTGAATTTTATTATTTGTATGCCGCCCTTCTCCGGGAAGGACTCAGGGCGGCGAACAATTCAAAAAAGGGAAACGGGGAACATAGAACAAAATACAGATAATTAAAATAGGCAAGAATCACGCAACCACACAAGTCGAGAGGGGAGGGGAACTCATCAACCCCAAGCCTGCCGGCAAATGCCACCTCTGGCCCGTGTGGCATCACAGCTCTAGGAAAAC